GCATTTGGAAAATTAAAACCTTGCGCTTGCCATTACCAAAAAGAAAAAAAAGAGGAACCGCAGAATTCGACTGGTGCGTCTCTGGTCTCCTTTGATGTAAGAGTAGTCCCAAGGGACCCTAAGCATCTACTCGTCATACTTACTCTGAAACCAAGAGGCAAGCAGAGGGAACAAGGCAGCCGTCTGGTTATGGGACGATCCATCAATAGAGCTCAACCCCAACTTGGGAAGAATAAACCACCAGACCATGATGACGGCCCATGGTTGTAAGGATAAACTGCTATGACAAGTTGTTAACTATTACAGCATGCCCTGTTGATGGGTAAAACATAACAAGTATCATATCAGAAACCAACTTATTAGTCTATCTTGAAAGTCCATTTGATTCACATTAAATCAGCTTTCCATAAAACCTCTGTCTCAAAGGTCTGTTAAAAGTCAAGAAGCTTAAAATAAGCCATAAAAACCTGTTTCAAACTCTGAATAAAGCCACTAGACAGGAACAAATATATTCAAAAGATAAGGGAAAATAAAAAGATATGTTCTTAAAGGCCTCCAGATGTAATCATATTTGAAAACTTCGCTCAATATTTTATTTATTGGATAACATAAAGCTATGGTTTCCCGAAATTCACTCAAATAGGATCCAGGCCTATCTCCCAGGCACATGCCAAATGTTCCCAGAGAAATAAACACACAAGTGTGTGCACCAACGCACACACACAGAACCCCCTTCCTGTTTTCAAAGTGTTTGGAAACTCAATCAAAGACACAAGGTTTAGGATTTACATCTGTGCCCTTTTATGTCTGTGGCCTCGCAGGAAAGAACCATCTCAGCCCAGCTGCAGCAAAGAGCTCACAACAAGGCCCAGCCTTCATGCTCCCGCATGCAGCACAACTGAAAACAATATCCACAATTCAGACACTTGGTGCTAAAAGCACTTCTTAGAGCCATTGAGATATGGTCTGTGAACATCAGAGGCTCTACTTGACAAAAAATAAAGACAAGCCGTGCTATCAGGATGTTGTGATGGAGACACAAAAATAATCAGAACGTTTTTTTTAGTCCAGGCCTACATACAGAGCAAAACACCACACCGGGTCTTTGTCTTGGAAATAAGAAATTAAGATTGAATTATGTTCTAAACGCACTGCTGACATTTATGCCATTTATGCTTGCTCTTAAAATACTTGAAGAGGAAATGAAAATTATAAGAGGGAAGTGGCTCGGGTTTAAAATACACAGGGTCCAGGCCTAAATCTGGCCATGGGAATGGAACAGTCCACCACTATACAAGGCCTGTTCAGTTTGTTGGCTTGTCTCAGTTACAGACAGTCCAAGCCCTCTGGTTATACAGAGGATCATTGTCATTAATCACACAAACAATACGACAGCATAAATATTCTGTACACAAAATAACTTTTAGGATTGTGCAACTCTTCAGTCTACGTAAATCAGGTGAAACTGAGTGAGATTAATATTGACACTTTACATTCTACAATGGCCTGTGTGTATATCTTAGACATGCATCTATGTCTAATAAAATGTGAGAACATGCCTAGCAACCAGGAAGATAAACTGCTGTTACAAGCGCCCTTATGTGTATTTGTCAAATAACACATTTCTGTAGTCTCCACCGCAGTCACAAGCGACACTTCCTCAAAATAATACAGAAGCAAAACTAAAGATGTGTTCAGCTCAGCAGACTTTGTCAAATGTAAGATAATGTCTGTAGTTAAGACTAGGCCAGCTAGTAAAGCTTAGTGTCCATGGAGGTCATACCCAACAACTGGCCATAACCCCAAATAATATACCATCTATAAAAAAGGTCCAGGAAATTATTTAGCTTAACATAAGGGCCACAGGATATAGGCAATTACCCAGGCCATAAAGCACTAACCCTAACAGCTGAAGTAGCTGTCTCCCTTTGTCGTTTCAGGACATGATGGGGGTTGTTTAGGAGGAATGTGTTTGGAAAGCTCTGCAACAGGAATGGGAGTGCAAAACAGCCCTCAGGTGATAAGATCACGACACCCACATTGGCAGATAAAACGCTGAGCTGTCAAATCAATCACACAGATAGGAAGAGGACACAGAGAGAGGAATCACCTGACTGGCAACAGACAATACCACCAAACTGCAGGAATCTAAAACAATGAGGCCATACCCTAGCTGTTATACGTTCAGAGAAACATAGAGGCATCTGGCCTGCACTGACAAAAATTTATTCATTTGACAAATTCTAGCAAAAAAGTCTGTAGGCCCATACACACTAAAATTATCAGCAGTTTTATTTTCTTATTGTACTGATTAATGAGGACAATGTAGCCTCTATTTGTCTAATTATAACCTATTTCATGTTTTGAAAAGGAAACTGCAGTTTAAAATAACAGAATTGTGATTTTTTTTGGCTTAACACAGCATAAGATGTAATTTCTAACAAGTTGTTCATGTATACAATGACGTTGTGAAAGAAATATCTAGAGTACACAGATAAAAGGTACCAGTACAGTGCACCTCAACAGACAAATGCTTCGGTTCAGATAAATATTTTAGATAAGCGTGACATTCAGCAGAGATGCAGCTTGCACTATACTTTCATAAATCTCCCACTTCTCCCAGCATAACCATAGCCCTTGACTAAAAAATTCACATTGGCCTTATATCACACTAACAACACACCCGAGAGCAGACGCAAACCAAAATCCGACAGGGCTTTATGTGCAGTCTTGTCATTTCAGCCTTGTGAACATAGTTGCACCAAGGCCAAGTAACATGTTCTCAGCATAGGGTGTGCTGGGAGCACTCCAGCTCGGCTTACCACCCATCATTCAGACAAAACCACTTCAGGACCATCTCGTCACATACTTGGTGGAGATTTTCAAATTAAATGTTCACGATGCAATACAACTACAAACAATTGCCATTTAAGAAAAGGCTGATTTTCTTTTACAATTTGGCAAATGACTCATCAAAGACCTATATAGTGCACAATGTCACAATGTAAAAAGGAACACACAACTGTGAAAGACATTTTGATTTGAAAAAGATCCCTGATGCTTAAAATATCTTATTTTTGTGAATCTGTTATTAGAAAGAGCATATTAAGGACAATATCTTCGGTAAAAACAAACAACTTACAGACAACGCTCTGTATTCTGTTCACTTCAACACTATGAATCATACAGTCAGAAAGGTGGTGTAATCATAGCAACAATGTTTGGATCGCTTCGCCATCTTAGCTGTTGCCATCATGCAGTGTGGAACAAATGCAGCATACTGTATCTTGCACATTACTGATGATCTGTAGCCGATGTAGTTCCCAAAGCAGGGCCTGGTGGTCCTGAGATCCAACCAAATCTAGGAATGCTTCCATTTCTCAGTCATTTCTCTCATTACGCTTAACTGGATGACAAAATGTTTTCAAAATGAGATATTTCACCCTTCCTACTAGCATCAATAATGCTAGGTTGTGACACAATTTAAGCTAAATCTGATTAACAGTAAAAAATCAGCTTATATTAATTAACCTAAAACAATGTGTAGTTAATTCAAGGTGAATTATTATCTATTTGGTGTGGATTCATATGAGGAAAAAGAGCTCTTTGACATATGTTACATAAAACACACTAGTGTAGTTCAAGGACAAAGCCTGCACACATTAAATCAATCAACCTCATTTATGCCACATAGATGGAAAGGGGGAAAAACATGGGTGTGTTTCGAACAGTAAACCATGACACTGTAAATGGCTGAACAGGGGCATATGACTTCCTCTGTGACAAATACATTATCAAAGAAAATCCTCAGAGATAGTGTACAAGCATCGGTTAAATAACGCACGCATCTGAAATAAAAGGCGAGAAGAGAAGCACTGGTGTTTATGTGTTATGTATTGTACAGTACATGCAGGAAATGTGATCATTGTGTGATCGTCGGTGCAATGCGAAACAGTGTACAGTGCTGTGAATGGGCAGGCAGGTACTTTATGAATGGAGGAGATCATGTGACCGCAGCACCTCCCGAAGCAGATATTTCTCACTGACTGTCAACAAGCGCACACAAGGGATCAGCCCATTAAAACAATACTAAAATGCGAATAAAAATGGGCGCGACGTGTACCAAAACACCTCATGTGCATTTTACAACAGATCCCCGTGCGTTGTGTGGATTTGGGTGTGAATGTGACGGCTTTTTAATGCGTTTTTATGAATGGAGATTGTGATATGTAAATGAGTGTGATTGAGAAAAAAAAATGGCATCTTCAGCCTTTCAACGTTGACATTGCCGCAATCGACTCGAAGGGTTTTCATTATAAAAAAAAAAGTCTGGACGGAAATACAAAACATGAATTGCACGATGCTTATCGATGCTTATATTCCAAGATCATAGCGGACAACAGTAACATACACATCTAGGCTGTGAATTTAACGCTTTCTGATGCTGATGTAACGCTACTGGTCAGACATGTAAAATCATATTTAGACTGGATTATTGCTGTGTACGTCTATAACGAGTGATCCCTCATAAACTGTCATATAACTGCCAATCTATAAAGCCATAATACATATGATGGGCATATAATGTTAAATAAATGATGTGCAGGCAATTGATAATATGCCTTTATATACAAAGCCCAAATACGAAGCATTATAGCAACCACGTTCATAAAACCAACATTATTAAGAATGAGATGGGTTTTTTTTCACAATGGGCCTATGCATCTGCCTGTCAGACACTGTTCTTGTGAGACTCATGTGTAGCTTTCTATTAACATACATAACAATCAGACAAATGTATTATAAGTATGTGCTTCTTATTGCTTATAATAGTAAAGTAAGGCGATAAAATAGCAGCTTCGCTCGGGTTAGAAATGTCATTGGGAACTGGTAGTGGATAGCTTATCGAGTAAAGCGTGTGTTAACATCTAAAGATAATTAAGTACTTGTCGTTGCAGCTGTACATGTAAATGGAAAAATGTGTATTAAGCAGTACTCACTCGTTGTTTGGATTTGTTGAATCTTCACTCATTTTTTCCTCACGGGGATCCAAATCCTAGCAATAGCATCGACGACGCAGTGACGGCGGGATAAAATACCACAAATATCACCATTTTCAGTCACATATAGAAATTACCCCCTATTTTGGATAGTAAGTAAAGGATGTAGAATGGGGCATGCCTGTGTAAGCGTCCCTTAGAAAGCCAAGAGGAGCTAGCTTCACGTTAGCTTCGCTGCCTGGAACTAACGTTAAATCGCGAGGAGGAATGACAACCGTTGATTCATTTTATCCTCCCTGGAAGTAAAATCCGACCACAACAAATGAGCCATCGGGATCATCCTCTTCAACAAGCACAGTTCCCCGCTTTGCAAAAAATGTGAATAGATCCTCAAAAAATGTTGCAGGCTGTAACGTTTGGCAGGTTATTTATGGCTGACTGTCGAGCATCCATTCGCCAACTTCGGCTCCAGGACAACACTTGAAAAAGCGCTGTGGAGCGTTGCTCCGTCAACGTGTCCGAGTAATTTGCAGTAAAGGCATCCAAAGCCAAAAAAAAGGGTTCAACTGTTTTCGATATGAATACTGACGGCGTAAAGCAAAAGCACCTAGACTTGAAATTTCCTTGAGAAGTTGGTGGACATCTGCTTTAATCGAACTCCATTTTCAACTCGGGGGGAATGAAACATCGGAAAACTGGGCGGATGTGTCGACCCTCGCTTGAGAAAATTAGATCCTTCCGCGACGTAGTAAAAACATAACACTCTTGCGATAAAATACGCTCAACTAGCACACAATATATTGGTTTTAGTTAAAGAGAAACACATATAGTACTCAACCGCGTCCCCTTTTAGCAATATGCAGTGCATACTGTGTGTTTCTTTCCAAAGTTGACCTAAAGTAGTCCCCGCACTTCCCAAAAGAAGTTTCCCTTCAATCACGCATTGATACAAGAGGGAAGCGTCTGTGTGATAGCACGCAAAATAGAAAATAATCTGGAGGAAGGACTTGGACTGACACAAACTCGGCCATTAACAATTTCTGTTGTTTTCTTTCAATAAAACAGTCACCATGATAGACCCTCCCCGAACCATTTAAACCATCTTAATTGTGGCTAAATGCTTGTAATGCACATTATAACGACTCCTGCAGCACGTGGAATTAAATTAGATCCTCCTTCAGATTAAAGCCTATTCAGTATTTTTTGTTATCTGTTTTTACTATTATTCAATCATGATGTTCACAAGCAGAGCTTCAAGACAGAATGTAAAATTTAGGAAATGTATATCTCAAAATGAGAATATTTTCTGAAACACATGTATCTCTAACCTATTCTGAGGGCTAGTTTGAAATTACAGCATGGCATTGTGGAGTAATGCAATAGCCCATAATGGTAAATAAAAAATGAGGCATGATATTAACCTCCATCAGCCACAGACAGGGGTTTTGATCAAGTCAAAGCTGCCCCTCCTTGCACCCCAAACGTCCCCCCAGGCAGCTGGAACACCCTCCAAAATAAAACACCCTCAGAGGCTACCAGAAAAATCCACGTGTGCACCTATGAATCTTATTTGCAAATGTGTTAAAAGCCTTGCAGAGCGAATCGGTGGCATGGTTGCGTAAGACTTAAATGCTATTGGATTTCTGTGCTGTGTGGAATGGCAAGAGATCAGGCTAAATGATTCTGCCTGGTTGTCATAGTGACAGCATGTTGTGTGAGAAGTTTCTTTGTGTTTCTCTGGCTTTCATACAGCTTGTGCCACAGCCTTATGTTGCAGCCATATAAAACACCCCTATGTGTCACTGTATATAGATAGCCTGTGCACACAGGACCCCCACATGTGCAGCCGTGACACATATTGTGCACTTCCTTTGGTATTTGATTAGATTTCCTGCCTGAGGTTTGTACTCCTGGTGACTGCCTGAGAGCAAAGGTGAAATTACTCCATGGATTGTTTCTCACCAACAAGCGTCATTTAAATGTGTATGAATGGATTTATCTATAAACAAAAGTATGCATTTCTAAAAAGTCTCACATTGCACAATCATGTAACAGTTGACTGTCTCTGTCCACATTTTATTAATGCCACTTGTCTTCACTTCTTCTTTTTTGAATCGGGTTACCATGGCCATGATCAAGCTCACAAGTCCAGATAAAGTGTCCCTTGTTTCAGATAGAGCAGAAAAGGCAATGACCATGATTTTTTTCCCACTAGCATGCCTGTATCCTTTAGAGTATTCAGAGTTCAGGAAGTCAGCCTCTTTCTCATCTCACAAATGTGGATGGCCCTAGTGTGCATTTCCTGTGTTTTTCACACACTGAACACAATACACTGAAGATTACTAATACAACAACAGGATGTTTAGCTAACAGACGCATCCCTTGAATTCCCTCACTAAGTGCAATCAGGGTCATCACAATTCTCTTTAAGACGGTAAACAAGCTAACATTCCTGTGTTGCCAACAAGCAACCACAGCATAAAGGATGTGTTTTGCTTAACACAAACCTCATTCAGGAGGGTCCAACACAAACAGAAGCTTACTTGACTTTCAGGAAGATTGCTAAAATAATTTGCAGATCATAGTCACGTTTCTTAATTTTTATAAATAAATTAGTACTGACACTTATTTTACAAACTTTTTTGGCTAGTTCTTGGATTTCACTAGACTTTAATTTATGATCACTTATAAACTTGGGAGCTTTTTTTGCTGACATTATTTAACACTTGAAATGCATAAATAACAGCTTTCTGGGGACTTTTGTAATGTTGACCTAATCCCTAATACGTTTATGTATAACTGTACATTTAGCTGTTTGCAGAAGATAAACAGAACCTCATTACTATACTGAGCTAAACAAATATATATTCCCAAACTTGTTGACATGATAGTATGAGTATCAGTTTTGAAAAGGTAAATTACTGATGGCCGACAAACAAATTTAGTTTATGTCATAGAAGAACAAGAAACTGCATGGCCACTTTTATGCATGATAGCACGGGAGATTAATTCCTGGAATTGGACCATGATGTCTTGAATCAGATGATGACCTCAAAACACAGGTGATGTGATCACCAGCTCCTAGCGGAACAGGCAGCCTCTGGTCACAAGAGAGGAGAAGTGAAGGCCTCTTATTGTACAGCAGCTATGGAAAGGAAATTCAGTGTGTTTAGTTGCCGCCATACAGTCTGCGGAGACCTCAGGGCATCTAGTGAGAAAGACCGGAGATGGCTGATGACAGCTCTTTGTCAATAACCTAATCTCAGGATCCTCTGCCTTACATTCGTTTTACCTCCCTGCTTTTGTCAACACGATAGACAATTGACACCGTTGTTGATGTGTGGACTTCCAGTTTTTGTAGAGGTAAAAATGTTGTTTATTTTCATTCTTAAAAACACACACCCGGCCTTCTCAAGTTTGTCTGTCTCAGACCACGACAGCGGACTCACAGCGCTCTGAGCCAATAGGTGTGGCTTAAACAAGAGGTGCTGATTTTTAAAGGCCTGGAAGCGGAACAGAACAATGCATACCTATGATTAGTGTGGGCCTGGCCTCGGAAGCCTGCAACTTTTAGGCACGCTAATTGTAGGGTGGTGAGTAGAAAAGGTGTAGTGGCTAGAGGGGAAGGAAGTGTGAGGGCCTTCAGGCATGTTTGACTATGTACTGTGTAGCTCTCTGTCTCTCGTTCAGACAGTGTTTATATCCATATTACCGGTCTTTAAAATAAAGATGCAAACATTTATTATATTGCTTGAACATCCTTAAAATACTGATCATGAAGTCTTTGAAGTTAGCGGCATTAGGGGATTTTCTTTTACAATAATTTGTTTCAAGAATATCTTAGAAGAAAGATGGATGTGGATAACAAGATGAGTGAAGTGTGTCCAGCTTAAAGAGCTGGTCTTGTGACCATGCACAAGGATGTTGGTTCAGATGGAAGGTCATTATGGCTGCAAAGCCCTTGAGAGAAACACATCTCTGGGATTGTTTCACGTTTAACTATGTGAACATGCAACAAAACATACTACAGTGTGTTTTACTGGGGAAAATAGATTGTGCACTATGCTTAGAATGAACAAAAAGCTAAAGTTTAGTGCTGTACATAAAAGCAAATGTTGCTTCATACTATAGAGTTATCTGTATTATACATAACATGTGTCATGGAAGTAAGACATTTTTTCACTAGATTTGGAATTTGCTGTTAAGTTTGATACAAGGCTTGATTACAGTTAATGTTCAAGATCTGCTTGCCAGTACATTTGTACCAGTTGCTAACGTCTCAACTACAAAAATGAGACACTAAATTGGTTTCAGCCGCAGTTAGCTTTTTCAGCGCCCGAGACTCTGTTACTTCCTATTGTTTGCATGTTGTGCGTGGGCTTGATTGAAACCTGATCTAGCTGGGGAAGCTGTGTTTAGGGTGAGGTGGACAGGCCTTTGTTGCTGCCTGAGGGGTGTTTATTTGGGCGGCTTCAGTTGGCTTCCCTGTAATCATCATCCAGCCCCACAGGATAGAAGGGATTAATGAATATGTTGGAGGGGAAGTTGCAGATGACTATTTTTTATTCTCATGGGGATAGGGGCAGCATGGGAGACGTGGTACAAGTGTGCATGTGCATGTGTGTGGGCACATGCAGGTTTTGTGTTAATCTATTTAAGAAAGTAAAGCTAGAATACAGAGCTGGACATAATTTGTATATTATTTTGATCAAATATATGATTATTTTATGTCCAGAGTTAGATGAAAAGACTAATTCAGTTTTCCTGAGAAGCCTGTTAGCTTAGCTTAGCACAAGGCCTGAAAACAGGTGAAAACAGAATCAAACATTTGGTACATAATGTGTTTAGAAGTGTGCTTTGGTCTGAGCATGGCTAGCTGTCTCCCCACAGGTTTCAGTCTTTATGCTAGGCTAAGCTAACAGACTGCTGGTTTCTTACCAAACAGACAGAAGAGTGGTATCAATCCTCTTGTCTAACTATCGGCAACCAAAAGGCCAAACAATTACCTTAGGCAAAACACCTTAAGTACACAGAGGTCATACATTTGCCATTGCCAAACATACATTTAATATAGATGTTTTAATTTAATTGTTTTGGGTTTTCTTTTAAAGATGAAAGATTCATTTTCACTGTACTGTTTTCACTTCTACATTTCAATTTTTCATCAAACAAGAAGGAATCAATGAGTCTAAAACCTCTGACTCAGACATGACTCTTCATATTACTCTTTGGGAAAGTGTACAGATGTCTTCCCTTTTCCCAAAACACCTCATCACACAAAACTTCGTACACACACATATTTTGTTATGAAAATCTAGTAACAATAAGTTGCGCGCCCCCTTCTCCTCAGCTGTGTAGCCCCCATCCCTCTCTTTCTCTCCCCTATGGCCTCCTCCACTTAATCCTCCCGCTCATCTGGGAACCACCAGCACCCCTCCATGAAGAGGCGCATTGTGCCCAGATTATTTGATTGTTTTCAGATGTTGAAGCTTTCCTACAAAAGGGGAAGAACAGGGTTTGTCCAAAAGCCCTAGGCTACTTGGCCAATAGATGGACACTCAGGGAGGAGGGGGGGAAGAAGGGATCGGTGCAGGGCTAAGGGAGCGGACACACGAGTCAGGAAGTGACCCCTGCAATGCCAGATTACAAACAATGTGCTCTCTCAACTTCTGCAGTCCTCGCTGTGGAACATACCACTTCTGCGACAGCCAAAGGGGTGGCGCTTGTAGGAGGAAGGAAGGACGGTTTCAGCCCTCTCTCTCCCTCTCTCTTTAATGCTGCATCCATTCAGTGAGTGGCAGAGGGAGTAGGTGGGGTGGGGGTAGTCGGGCCAGGAAGGCACTTCACTGATGAAAAGTCGCCACATGGAAATGGATGAGAAGTGGGCTGACGAGGGTGGGGGGTGAGTGGGAGAAGGGCGGGAATTGGCTCGCGCTAC